CCTTGGCTGAGAGGTATCGTCCATCAAACGCTGTGCGTAGCTTGGAGGAAGCGAGTTCGCTACCTCCCCACTTCATAGTAAATTAGGAACATTATCCTTTTCTTTAGGAGTCACCTTGGCTGAGAGGTATCGTCCATCAAACGCTGTGCGTAGCTTGGAGGAAGCGAGTTCGCTACCTCCCCACTTCATAGTAAATTAGGAACATTATCCTTTTCTTTAGGAGCCATCTTGGCTGAGAGGTATCGTCCATCAAACGCTGTGTGCAGCGTGGAGGCAGCGAGTTCGAATCCCGCTTTTACCTAGGATGTGTGTTGGTGCTGTTTTTCTCTGTATTAAGCAATCTGACCTTCTACTTGACAAAGGCTTATAAGCCTTAGTTGAGCACTCAAGCCTGAACATGTATGTTGCACCAATAAACCTGAATCAATCTTTTTCTTTAGGGATTACAGGTGTCTACGTAGAAGCGAGTTAATTTGAATTCAGTATAAAAACTGTAACTGTTGCTGAAAGTACATCATCATGTATTATTGCTGCTTTAGTATAAAAGAAGGTAACATAGTCGGGAGATTACAGTTCAAGTTTTTAGTATCAGGAAACTTTGTGAAGTCTTGCAGTTAAGAAGAATGGCAAAGTATTATATTTTTATTAGTCGTTTTTATATTTTCTCTATGTGTTTCTTTGTGCTTAAATTTAAATTTTTAATAAGGTTCGATAACAGAAAAGTTTGTAACATTATTACGATTAGTTAATATTTGGTGTGTCTTTCACTAGTGTTTAAAAATTTGAGTAAGAGCATTAAGACGATAGGATACAATTTTAGGGATAGTACTTATTTTTATTTCCAACATAAATATGGAAGCTTCATTAAATATTGTATTCTCTTCTCAATTGAAAGATATTTAATTTGAACTTATGGATGAAAACTTCTTCTGAATTGTTTCCTGCAAAAGCATATTTCTCTATTTTGTTTCTTCAAAAACTTAATTTTTAATTCTTTTAAATAATTCATGTGCTTGAATTTCAATAATTTATCTAAGCTATTTCTAAATTTAATAGTTGTGTTATAAAAAAAATCTTAAGTTTTCATCAGGTATAGATCTGCATTTTATCTAACTTAATAAATACAGGTTTCACTCAAAAATAGTAAACGTTTCAAATTTATAAACTATTTCAACCAATCTTAAAGTAGAAGCATATAAATGGTATGCCTGTTTATTAAATTTAAAAAAAGTCCTGTCCGTAAATATAGAATGCATTTCAAAGTTAATCCCTTATTCAATAATATCATAGTAAAAGATAAGATATTTCAATATCATCTAAGCTATAGTTAGAAATTTATGTTAATATTTAGTGTTGTAACTTAGTAATATAAACTTCACTTTAAATGTATTTAAATCTTTTAGATTAAGTAGTTTATTAAAATTTTCAATATTTATTTATAATTCAAAAGTAATTTAATTTGTAGAAATAACAATGAAAACGAAAATTAAAAACTATTAGTCTTACGATTATGCCTTTACGATCTATGCTGCTAGTTTCAAATTTTTAAGTGTTTGTATTGCTAGCATCCTAAACATTATAATGCCGCATAATTATTTTGTAAATTTGTGTTAAGACTTCAAAGTTTAAAAAGAATAACGAAATTTTTGACTTTAAAAAAATTTATTTAAATTAGGCAATTTTAAATTTTTCTTCCGCACATTTCAATGTCCGACAAACTTTGATGTTTATGCACCTTTGTGATGTTTATAAAATATAACTCCAATATCTGGTATCGTTAAAATATCTAGTTAATGAATAAGTTTGTTTTACAAAAGCTGGTACCCTTCAAAATCAATTTGAAATGGAACTAGGAATTGCTATTGATTGTCTGAAATATATGCGAAGTTGTTTTTAAGAATTTTATATTTATGGAAGAAAAGACAAAGTATCCTGAACTTTTAATTTAGTTGTAAATTACACTATATCTTTTTGTAGATCTATTGAGAAAATCAATATTGAGTCTGTCATTATCGATCCTGAAGCAGGAATAAAAGATGGTAAAAATCCTGTCATTTTCATGCATGGAATGCTGTGCTCAAAGGAAACCTGGGTTGAAATCCCTCAAGCTGTAGCCGATAGCACTGGAAGAAGAGTGAGTAATTTACTTGACTTTGTTTCTATTATCGTGTGATCCAAACCTAATCCCGCAGTGGACTGATCGTAAAGACACTTTCCCCAGTTATGCACGGAAGACAAAGTATTCTGCCTAAGATCATTAAGCGGGTGAATGACCACTATGATTGGTCTGCATAGGAACAGAGGGTGCTCAGTATTGGTCTTGACTGTTCGGTCATAAAGCGATCTGTTTTGCGCGCAGACCTTCTTGCTGCCACTGCAGAGCGGATGGCGGAATTCTTCCACTGGAATAATATCCAGACAATAGCCAATAATCCATTGTGTAGCTCCAGTGTGACGTAAGGTACCTACTTACCTAACTAGACCTAGAAAAATCTATAAAATTGTTTCTACAGGAATGTAGCTATTTGCTTCCAGTTACAGTCTTAAGAGTCCAAGTGACTTGATTGTCTTCTGGGTCTGAATTTAATGTATCCGTGTTTTTTTTATTCTGATTAGCCCCTTTAAACAACCCAGCCATTGAATTGAACTTTCTATGATCATATCAAATTCATTGCTACAAATGCACAATTTGCTTGGTTTCGGATACTGCTCTTAATATCTTAATCTTTCTCATTCGTACTTACAGCAACTTTTTCTTTACATTTTTTTGTCATTTTTTACTCAGAACTGGTGATACCGTCTTATAAAGGAAAAATGTTTCATTGCAAATATAATTAAGTGTTTAATACTCTTATTTTTACTTAATCCTAATAAAATTAGTTACTGTATGTCACTGTCTTACAGAATTATAATTTATTAACAATGGTTTGAAGTTCATTTCTTTCCAAAACATTTAATTAATGTAAGATTGCATAGAATGACACTTTTACCCAAATGATGTATGTATAGTGTGCAAAATAAAAAAACAGTCCGTCCTAAATAACTTTTGATCCAGTGATCGGAACTTCACTTTCTAGACTCTTTAATAGTTCGAAGGAGTGATCTAAAATATGCTAATTGGTGCAAACGATACTTAGGTTACGAAATCGAACACAGATTTATTTTCTTTGAGTAAACATATATTTTCCCCCAACGGATTCTAGTTTCTGACCTCCAAAATATAGGGAATGCCGCAATATGAGAAATATGTTCCTCATAGTTTGGTCAGGACAGTGGCTCAAAGTTTGGACTCGATGCTAATTTCACTTTTTGCTAATTTCGCCATGTCGAAGTAACTAGTTGAAAAATTTAATATACATGTAAAATTTCAGTCTATTCTAAGGTAATTTTGAGCGAAAATCTTGCTATGCATTTTTTAAGTCTAAAAATATTGCATTGTAAGATAATTTTTAAAATTATCAAGTGTATAATTTTAAATGGCAAAATACATAATTTGAACGAAATTGGAGCATATTTTCCAGATTGCTGCTACCTCGTATTAGAAATACAAATCCGTCTAAAAAGGTATGTTTAGAGTACGTTTTTTATGTCTGATTTAGTAACTTATAAAATCGTCTTCACTAATTAGCATACTTGAGGTCACCCCTTCGAACTATTAAGAGTGAGTGTTAGAACGTGAAGATTTGATCAAAAGTGATTTCGGGTGTTCTTTTTTCTTGGCGTACCGATCTTTGCATTTCATATTGAAGTTTTTCCACTGATTGGAATTTAATTAAAAATGAGTTGCATTTTAATATTTCCACAAATAAAACTTATGACATCCAATAGTATTAAAGGTTTATAATAATGTTCAAATATATATTTAAGGCATTAAGATTTAATTAATAACTTGTAACAATTTGCAATTTATCATTTTAGAGCATTTGAATCTTACTGTTAGGGTAAATTTTTTTCTTCATGAATTTAATACTCATTTATTGGGTGAAAAATTAAAATTATATTTATGAGCCTAAAGAATGTAAAATAGTGAAGTTCGGTCCGTTTTAAATGCATTGAGTCTTGAGTACGAATAAGAGTAAGTTTGTCAAATTTTAAATTTTCTTTTTAAATCGCATGGTATTACAATAATCGTACATGAAACTAGCAACTTTTTACTTTAAGTTAAGCATTAGACTATGTTACCTTTTTAAAAGTGAGTTCATCTTTTAGAAAAGTTACTGTTTTGTGGAAATGAAATATATCAGTTTAACAAATATTCGGATTATTAAGTTAAATTTATTAATATAAAGACAATCTTCACGTCGCATGAAAAATAAGGACTATGGCAATAGTGCTTTAATTTGACTAGTTTCTGTAGCGGCATAATAATAGGTTAATTTATTTTTCAGGTTTATGTTTACGATGCCAGAAATCATGGTGATAGTGGTCACACTGACCAGTCTGGTTTCGACTTGAATGTCCAAGATCTCTTAGAATTTATGGGAGGTGTAACAGTCAACGATGCCACAACAGTAGCAGCCGATCAAGTTATTTTAGTCGGATATGATATGGGAGGACTGACTGCAATCAGTGCTGCTCTAGCAATAGTATAGACTTTTTATTCTACACATTTTTTAAACGCTGTAAAATAGTTTCATGCTTATGACAACTATTAACTCGTTCTAAAGTAATGAACGATCACGCGTGAATCTTAAAACCACCGCGTAATTTTTTGACTGCTTTAGTGCCACGATTTGTGTTAATGGGCATTTTATTTAACAGATCCACTCAATCCAGTCTCCGTCACTGCTTTCGCGGTTTGCTCCGGGTCCAGTCTCAAGATGAGCTCGCTCATATGTCTAGATAGTATTTTGTTATTTTGAGTATTTTTACTTTAAAAGCATAGCGCGTACTTGAATGTCAAAAATCTCGTATAGTGTTAGTGTTAAACTGTTTTAACGTTCAGTGCTATTTTGAAAGAAATTCATAGAATTTAGATGTAAGCTTGAGTTTCAAATATAAAAAAATATTTGCCAAATAAGTTGTGTTTACATGAACTCGTGTATAAAAACCAAAGCAAATTTGTTAAAGGCTTTATACCAGAGTTAGTATTCAGTATTTATAGTAAACTATAGACAAATTCAAAATTTTTCTGTGCGAAGTAATTTTGGAGATTCGGGTACAAAACCGTGACGGTAGTTAAGCATTTTCCGTAGAAAGACAGATTTTCTTTTCCGTTAGTATTAAGACTGAAGTTTTTAAGAAAAGTTAAATCCTTTTCTCAAATCCACCTTCTGCAAGCTTAGAGGCTATACATAGAAGCGTGATTTGTTAATTCACTAGATGCTTGGCGACTTTTCTCAAACCAAGAAACTACTTCGTTGGCAATTCTTTGGATGTGATTCTTGGATAAAGAATGTTTCTTGTTTAAGCAGATTCGCATGGTTTCAACTAAAGACAAAATTTAAACTAGTATTTCTTGCAAATTTTCCTTTCGCTAAAGTTTCATCGAAATGCTTCACTCTGCGAGTATTCTCAAAGATCATGAACTGAAAAGTAGCACTAAATTATGAAACTAGTTTAAGATAAAAACAAATATAGCGTGTTTGTATGAACTGTCTGTTTGGACATAGAATCTCCGACTTGCTTTAAGTTTTTGTAATCAAATCTATAAGGCTTTCATCGGTTTCGTAACCGCATACGTATAAGTTGAAGACAATTCTGAAACATTATTTGCTTTTTGTCAATTTTTCTGACGTAAATTTGTTTCGTATTTGATAATTTCAGATTTACAAAAAATTAAAAACGTGCATTAAATTTTCAAAAAATAAAATTCAGACTAACATCAAGTAGAATTGGCAAAACAATTAGAAAAATGCATGAGGATTCCGTCCCGATAAAATGCCTTGCTGCATCAATATTTTTGTAATAAATTTTTAATATCTTCCAAGAAGTTTGAAAATAGCATCAATCAAAAACGCTTGATTAAGTTTGAGTATGGATATATCAAACATCCAAAACCATTTAAATTATATAAATTTATTAGTAAATTATGCTATGGAAGTTGCTAGATTTGAACTGTGATTATTTCATTTGTAAGATTTATGCACGATTACTGATATATCAGCAGTCAGACTTCGTATATTTGCATGTTAACTTTCAAACTCAAATTTTGGTAGTTTTAATGTTCGTTTCAAGACATTGTTCAGCAATGTCGAAGGAATACATTGACATAACTTACCCATTAAGAATCTGTCACTTCAACTAAAGGAGTTTCTTAAAGTTATATCTGGTTCATATAAAATGTGGTAAATAAATAATAAACTGCAAGACGTATGAAGCAGTTTTGTAATTTTAAGATTACTTTAATACAAAAGTGTACTTTATTACAAAAACAATATTTATAGAATAATTTAACAATGGGCGATAAACCTTTAGGTGGATACAGATTCCACATCCTCGCTATAATCTTGCTGAAGTTAACAAGACAACTAATTCATCAAAATTTAAGTCTTCAGAAAGTGTGGCCAATGAAGTAACTTAAAAATTAAAGCTTATTTTCTGAATTTGAAATTTTAAAATGCTAATGATTTATCTTGATATGAACTATACAAATGTACTCTTTCTTTAGCCTAAAAAATTTGAGAAAGTGATAGTAATTGAAATGTACACTAAGAGAGTGCCGGACTTTCTCCTTGATCGTTCAAAAATATTCATGACCAAGTGGACTGAATGTGTTCGCAAACTTCCTAAAGGCACTCCAATGGAGCTTGTTACAAAAATAAGCGTGGAAAAACTATATGAAGAGTTAGAGGATGATATGGTAGGTTTAGTTTTCTTAGTTGCAAGTTTTAAGCTTAAATTAATGTTGTGCATAATTATAATGGTCTGGGGTATTCTCCAGATCGGATCGACTGACTCTTGTTTAATTTCAATAAACATGCTTTAAGATTTAATACTAAATACAAATACATCAAATAATACACGCAAGATGCATCATTTGATGTGTATCTTTCATATTATTACGTTATGTGTATTTCATATTATTACGTAAATTTATTTAAAAATTTTTTAATTTTCAGTAGGCTTGAGCTCCAAACCTATCTCTAATAGGTTCAAACTTCAATGAGTTGTCCAAAGCTCTTTGGGGCTTTGTGATATTGAACTCTTAAATTTTCTATCATAGTTTTAGATGCAACCTAAAGTTATTACATTAATTCTATCTATAATTTTAATGTAATAATCTTATTGTACTTATCTAGTTACAAAACTTTTATTGCACTCATTGTGAAGTCTGTATATTTTAATTTAAAGGTAGTGTTAAGAATAAGCTATGAGCACTAGTTTTAATTTTTTAGTATCGTATAGCAAACGTAGAGGACACCCGATTATAAAAACAACATTGAGTTGTACAGTTTGAAGTTTCGTTAGTGTTACAAATATTCCCTAAAGTTTATAAATTAGCTTGTTTTAGAATTAAAAAAAAAATTAAAGTTTGATAGCACTTTGAGTATGCAATTTACTGCAGAAATATTGCACAATGAAATTCAAAATTTTTTCTAAACTACCTTATACGTTCACTCGGCCGATGCAAGCATTGTATTGATATTCAAATTATGCATTTGTTCCTGTTTTAAAAATTAAATCAACATATTTTTCATTTTTATATATTTACATATTTTAGTAAAGAAATTTACAATTTAATTTTAGCCTTCAATCTATAACTGTTAAATTTCGAAAATGCAGAGATTGTGGGATAGATTTTTAAAACCAGTTTCTCAACTTTCGAACAATCTGTTCTATTCTGTATCTTTTCAAGAAAATGCAAAATACATGCCTGTAATGTGATTGTAAATAGAATACTACATATTTCTAGGCGATTTCAATATTGTACTGGACGTAAAGAAATTTTTCTTAACAATTGATAATTGTGAACCTATGTTTTAATGATATTACAAAGTTTAAAGTAATTACAATACTTAAGAACATATATATTTAAATCTTGAGAGTTATTACATAAAACCTAAAATGCATAAACCTGGGTAATACAAATAATATGCAATAAAAGTTAATGCACAAACCTATGTAAATTACTTCTAATCCGACATTAACGAGCTTTTATGTTTGGCCGAATTAGATTCTAGAATATTTTAGTTTGGGTAAAAAGTTACTGGAATAAATCCTTGCATGATTACGACCAACTTACACAAAGGGAAGTCTCCAAAAAGAGAACTACTCGTTAAAGTCCATTGGATTGCAGATTAGCTTCCAGTCGTGTAGATTTCCTGCCTTAGTTTAATAATCTCGCACCACAAACTGCAAAGAAATTTCCTTGAACTTTGGGGTCCCACATTAAGCATTGCTTTCAACAATCCTGGGAGCTGAATATTTCGGTTGGTGCCTTCACTAATTGGTAACTTTTTCTGTAATCTAGATTTACTCTTAAAATTTAAAATATTCAACAAGCATCCTGCTCAAGATTTTGATTTATAAATATTCCATTAAATTTGCATTGAGTCGTAAGGTGTATATTTAATTTCTACTTTGAAATAGTTTGTCACCAAGTACCGAATTTCGAGACAAATTTAGTTTGGCGCAGTATGTCCGTTTTTGGACCTTGTGCCACTAAACCCTACATTCAATCAATCAATCAATCAATCAATCGAGACAAATTTAACTAGTTTATTCCTACAGAACTTCCATTACTAACAATAAAAACATTAAAAGGAGAGTAAGGCTTACGAAATAGTGGTATATCTGCGTTTTTAAAATCAAATGAGTATCGCAGCTATAATGGATCTCTAAAATGATTATCTCCCGTGTCACTTAAGTATAACTAATCTTATCTGCGTTAATCAAGATTCATAATTAAAACACTTAAATTTTCTGCTTTTTACATTGTATAGAGCTTCTCGCAAACAGTTGCAATTGGTAAAATTTTTACTTGTCAAGATTAATAATTAAATTAATTATTCCAGAAAGAAAATAATGAGAAGTCTTCTTACCAAAATGCGAATTTCTTATACCACGAAACAGCTGAAGGTTATGATGTACTTTATAACACAGATAATCTTTGCCAAGCCCTCGACGAACTGAAGGGACAGAAAGATTTTAAGGGAAAGTATGAAAAACCAGCTTATTTCTTCTATGGGGAAAAATCTCACTTTAATATGTAAGTTGGTTTTTCAGTATTAAACTAAATTTTTTATAACTAACATGTATTTCACAATGACTTAGTAATTATGACACTGAACTATCCTTTTTAAGATTTAGACAAACTAAACTTATTTAAATTATATAATTCTACTTGAGAGTAATCTTGTTTCTTTAGATTAGGTCACAAGGTCTGAAAGTAAAAAACTTCATGAACTAGTGTGAACTACATTTGTGTAGTTTGGCCAATGGTGTATATACGCAGCATTTTATTTTTGCAATGAAATATTGATCTTCGTATTAAACTATTGTCTTAACTGTGATTTAAGCACTTCAAAGAAAGCGAAAATAACTATGCTTCTGCTAAAATGGATGTATTTTAAATAAGTTTCTTGGAATTTGTTTTTCGAAATACTCTTGGATAGCTTTTCCGTAAATGCAGTGTATCTTAACAGTAAAACCACATTCGGTTCTAGATCTAAATTCATTGAAGCTAAGTGTTTTAATTATCCAGAGAAATTAACTCAAATTTTAATGACTTAAATTGTTCTATGAATCTAAAGTTTATTTCAAACTAGTTTCACTAATATTTATATAAAATTGTAAATGTTCTATTTTCTTGCTCTATTTTTTTTATCCATTGGTATTTATACATTTATTTTTATTCTAGAGGTAACGAGAAAGATTCCATCAAGGAATTATTTCCACTAGCTAAATTCGTTGAGTTTGAAGGAGGTTCACACTTCTTCATTGCTGATGTTCCTGATAAAGTAGCCAGTGAAATTAGCAAGAGCATTAATGAGATGTCTTAGAGATCATGTGATCTGATTTGTGCTCAAGTTCTTGAATGTTAACTTTTTATTTTATGCTGTATTTTTATGCTTTAATATTTTAAATAAATTCTCATGCAGTTTGAAATTAGTGTTTTTGTAACCCTAGAAGTTGTTTCTTTAAAGCATATCATAGCACTACATAATACGAGTAAATGACAACTTCGTAGTCCGTTAGCATTCAAATAAGTATGTTGAATTTGAAATACATTTAAGGGATTGGTATGAAACAAAATTGATACTTTAAAAATGTTCATGAGCTTAACTCTTAACATAGGATTTTTATAGTGTCTAAAAATCTGATTTGTAAACTCAAACATAAAGATAGAAAATCGGTAGTCTGAATTCTGAATGTTTTCTTCTTGAAATTAGTAGCATCACCACCGAATCATCGTCTTAACTGAGGGACTAGAAAACAATGTTTCCCAAATAGCTATATGGCATCAAAAAGACTGATACGACCAGAAGGAAAAAAATATAGGTGTCTCTACGAGTTGAACTTGTTCTGTGTAGCCAGTTTGTGGTAGTTATTAGTCAGTAGTGCTATAGGAACTCTGTAATAGTTTATATAATCTTGTGGTAAGTTTCTGGTTTGCTAAAAAGAACATAGCAAAACTAATTTCCTTCAAATTCAATTTTTTTCCAAAGTATTGAACATTTCTTAGTACACCATCAGATCATCTTCAGAAAAGTTGAGGAACTCAAAACTAAATACATCACTTTATGCTGTAAAAGAAAAGTGAATGAGACATAAAAATTACTTCTATACTTGGCCTCCCAAATAGCGTACAGACGCTACAAAGTTTTGACTTATAAAGGATTATTTAAACCTCGAAAAAGAGGAACTCTAATACTTCCTTTTTAGATTTCTTAAACTAAAAGCTTTTCAATTATAAACAATACAAAACTGTTTTCCAGAGATGCGAAATAGAGTATTAATGTTGAAACTAATTGTAAGCAATATTTTATTCTTCACTTAAATGAAAAGATTTTTCTGCAAATTTTTCATTTTCGAGGTACAAACAGCTCTGTTTAAGTGCAACTTCATATTTTCGCAAAAAGGTTTATCGTATCACTTGAGTTTTAGTTCCTTATGCAACTTTAAAGTGTTAGAATCATGTCTAAAGAGAGCATTTTTAACAATCTAAAATTATATGCAAAACTACAGCGGAATTTAGTCGAAATGAAAAATTAAAACTTGACTCCCTCATTAGTATAAATGATTATCTTCAAAAGTTTATTAAGTTTGCAGCATTTTTTACTTCGAATTTAATTTTAATACTTAAGTGATATTTTTTTAAATCAGTTTTTGATAGGCTATCAAAAGACCAAATTTTAAAACAAATAATTGGTTGTAAAATGCTTCAATTTTTTTTAAATTGAATGTTTGAGTATTAGATACTAGTTTAACGACATTAACGCCCGACATCTGGGGTCGTTTTCCCCGCAAATCAGTTTTATATCACACCTCTTTGAGATAGCGACAGTACTTAATAAAAGGTCTGAGATCCTTTCATTCTTTAAGACTTTTTAAAAATAAATGTGGAAAGCCGGTATTGAAAAGACAGAATGTGTTAGTGGCTACTTTTACGATTTATCACAAAGACCAACATAGGTCTCCATCAACCATGGGTGCCGAATTAGAATCTTAATTTAATGCCAAAAATAAATTTTTTTTCGTGATAATTTTCAACATGTTCAATTTATATTTTTATATAGGTCAATATTGTCTTCATTCAAATAATATTTATCAACATTCACAAACAGTATCATACTCAATAATTATAGTTCGGTAAAATATCTAGTATTTCTTTTTAAGATGTTATTGATGATTGCGATAACATTGCATTAGATTATTATAATTATCAATAGTAATTCCCATACTTTCGTATTGCATATGCATTGTTATCATTAATGATCGCAATGTTGTCATAATTCATATAAATGTCATAATTCATATTGTCATATTCATTCAATGTTGTCATAATTCATATAATTTAAGTGCAATGTTGATACCAAGTGATCGGATAAAACTAGAACCTGATGGTGTGACGTGTTGCCTAACTTTGCTGGAGGATATTTAAGAAGGAATAATTTCATTTCTTCCTTGAAGTCACTTTAGGCCTAGAACTAAAGAGAAGGACGATAGTTAGTACCCAGAAAAAACTATCCAAATTTTCAGAATAGTTAACTTAAATGGTTTCATTTATTGATTGCTGTACATCCATACACACCGTAGTGTGCAGGATAGAAAGAATGACTTATTAACTCTCAAGTTGTTAAACAAACAGCACATTATAGAGAAGAATACGCAAAGGTATACACTCCTACTTTATAGGGGGACTCGAACCAGCTACCTGCAAATTTTGGAACTTCTGAAGGAAATAGCAATACCCGTCTACTTGTCCTCGGAGTAATACCTTTCTGTACTGAGTGTGTCATTTTCTCTCCTTATTATTCATTTTTAACACCTGATATCCACAGTTTTCTTACTTTATTTTTAACAAGAATTAAGGAAGCGTATTTGCAAGGGGGAGTACAGGACACCTGTTATAAGGCAAACCAACTAGCTTTTAGTTTGCTGATCAAAATTTCAGAATCAGGTATGTTTTGAAAATCAAGGTTCGGTTTTTCACCAACTGGGCTCGAATCTTCTTGAATTGTTTGTGTTTATATATTTTGCTGTTATAAAAAGTAATTAAAATAATTATTAACTCTTAAAAAACCAAACTTGAAATTAAAATGTGCCACCTTATTTCGAATTTCAAGTTTCTCCTTTTTTATATATTTCTGTGCAGTATTTGCAGGATTCTCCTTTTCTTTTATCGTTACATTAGCACAGTCGGCTTTTTATTTTTCGCAGCATGCCTATTAATATTCATAATTTTTTTTCACAGAACCACTTTTGTCCCTGTTTTAATCAATTAACATCTATTTTGAAATTCGAATTCTAAATGGTGCTCTCAGGGATATTCCAAGATTCTAGCTTTGGTTTATTTTCATCACATTTCAAACTTAATTGTTAATCACTTTAGTTACACATCATTATTTATTAGAAAATATATTTAGGTCCAGGTCCTTATTTTCGTCGCACTAGAGTTGAACAATGGGCTATCGGCGACAGTCAGAGAAGCATCTCTGGGGATGATCCGAAGACATTCCATTGCAATTTTGATCCTCTGAAGAGGGGATGGCTCCCCTGCATTGGTAGCTCGACGATCTGCACGCAAAGTTGAGCACTATATGGTAGAAGAGTTTAAGGATCAATAGCACGCACCCTCAGTCCCTGCGCAGGGGGATCAAATTAATCACCCTCCCGTTTACTGACCACTGCCAGTGATACTTGACTTCGGCATTCTATTGGAAATCGTGTTTTTACGATCACTGTGGGGCAAATTTAATTAGGAAAAGACTCATTGATTTTTCTATATAGAGTGGCATGCAACATTTTACTGTCCAACTTATTGCAACATAATATTGACAGTCCAGCCACTCAATGTTTTTATTTTATTTTTGCACATATATAGACTTGTGGGGTTATTAGAAAAGCGGCTTATTTGCCCTTGTAAGGATGAGAAACAGATAGCATAATTTAGAGAACGCCATCACAAAGATGCATTCAGGTTTATGCCGAATTCGAACCAGCTACTTTTACGCTTCAGTGCGGTTGACGGTTCGGTGAAACCACTCTGCCGACCCAATGTTTAAATCCATGATTTTCTTACTAAAAAACTCTTCGTTTTTACAATTCATTCAGAAAATAAAAGGGAATATCATATAATATTACTGTTACTTACTGGTACTATTCCAATTTTCATCAAACTGATTATTACCAGTTAGAAGCATATTTTCAGAAGCACTAAAAGCGAAAATTATGCATTTAACTCTTTATTTAATTTAAACTTTAGTATAATATCCGATTAGGATTCTTCAGTGACTTCGAATTCTTGACAGTTTGTGCCATAACCCGAGACCTCAATCTCTCTGCAACTACCGACAAACACATATTTTAACTCCAACTTTAACTTGATATGTGTGCGAGAACACTGCAACTGTCACTGAATTTAGATCGGTTTTCCTGCCTTACTTTATGATAAAAACCGACTAATGAGAAAAATACTCGCAGTTTAAGATTTCTACTTGTGGCTATACTCAGTGGAAGAGCAAGCTTTTTTAAGAATGGAAGCGTAAGAAACGTTATTTATGTATTAGTTCTTCTTTATTTGTTTGTATTTTGATTAATGTGTCTATTCATTGTTTTTTTTTAGCGACGGGTTTTTATTTTTGTGATTCTTAAAAGGTTTTCAAAGTTTGTTGGTTCTCTCTCATCAGTCTATGAGAAAATTGAAAGTTTCTATATTTTCTTATGTAGTTTATTTAGTTGTTGAAACGTTAATACTTATTTTGAAGCCTTTTCTTTAGCTAGATGGCTTTTTTTTTGTTCTCAACTTTTTTGCTCATTCGTTCATAATGTATTAAAAACTGCGTAACGTTAAAATGCATTGAAACATAATTATATCCTTTTTAAATATTTAAATTTAAGTTTAATAAAATCTACTTTCTTTTTTAAAGGGAAATTTGACTTTATTCTCGGAAATAATTCTTCAGCATGTCAATCACAGAATTTACAGCTTTTAAGAGTTACACTAAAGTTTTTCTACAAGTATTACTCATACGAAAGTCCTTTTTAACATAATTTTAAGATTCTTTGTAAAAAAAAAAAATTGGAATTGGGTCTTTTAAAAGGTTTTTTAAGTTTAATTCTAGTTTATGCTTCTCTGTCATTGTCTTGTAACTTCTGATGCAAGTTCTATGTATTAAAGTTTGAGTCATTAATTTTGGTTGAGTTGCAGTTGCGCTAGTAAATTTAATGACACTTTGACATTGCTTTCTTCTTAAAAATACGCTTGTTCCTTAAGTTTTTAAGTCTTTAAAATTGTTCTTTTAGCACTGTTTGAATCAAATATTCATACTCTTAAATCTGTTTCTAACCATCAGCTTTATTTTAGGAAAATTTTGAAGACATTACATTTTTACACCTCTGCAAAAAAAAATAAATAAATTAATTTTTATGTTTAGGCAATTTTT